AAATCAGAGGTACAGTTTTTAGAGTGTATATATACACTTTCCTTTAATTTAAAATTTACTCGTAATGAAAAAAAGCATTATAATTTAAACGAAGCCTCCTAGTTTAAAAAAATTCATTAGACATGTCTGAAATTTGTTGTCATCAAAATGTCATCAAATTCGTTTTAATGATTTATATCCTAATTTTTTTGCTTCAATTCTTAAATCAACTATTAGTTTGTAAGTCTTTATATGCATGGATTTTTAGCTTCATTTTTTCCCGAGAGTTTTAAAACCGCATATAAAGAGAAATGGAAAGTAATGAAGGCATGTCAAATATGTTGCTTTTTATCAAAATATTTATGATTCTGTATCAAATTTAAATTGATAAAATCAGATTTAAATGATTAAATTCAGATTTAAATGATTAAATTAAATGATCCCCTATCAGATTACTATTAAAATTAATGTTAAAAAATCTACGGAATTTTCACTTTACAACCGTCCATCCCCTCTATAAAGTGAAATTGATGTGAATCTGATATTAAAAAAAGAATCAGGTTTTTGTAACTGATAGCAAAAAAATTGATACTTAACCATCTCTAATAGTCATAGTTAAGGAAAGAGGGCCGATGTGTGAAGTGGTCAATAAAATTATGTAGTTTACAATGTCACGTAGAAGCTAAACTCTGATAAAAGAATTACACACGCCATTCAAGAAGTTTCAGCATATAAAATCCTAACCTACTGATCAAAGTTACCCTAAATAGAAACAATTACAACCAATAACATTGCAGATTATGATGTGTTACTTAAGTTTAAGCACTGCGAAAACTTAGAAGTGGTGGGGCGAAGTACCTGGCCTATAATACCACCGCGGTAAATTATAGATTAAATGCTGATGGCCTGTGTTATTTACAATTAGTTGAATTAGTTAAATTAATTGTTAGAGCCGCGGTGGCTCAGGAGATAGAGCGTTCAATTTCTAATGAAGAGAACCGGGTTTGAATCCAAACCATGACTGGTCGATACGAATTCCTCATCCCGCTTGCACCGATCACAGTGCTGACATAAAATATCCTCGGCAGTAGACAGATTATGTCCTCCTGCTAAAAGGCGGAGGTTCTTGTGGTCTTCCTCTCCATGTAACGCAAATGCGAGTTAGTTCCATCAAAAAGTTCTCCACGAAGGCAAATTTCTCCCAATACTTGTCTTCCGTATTGGGTTCAAAATGACAAGGCTACGTAGTTGAACATTAGTAGTCGTAAACCCAAAAATTGGGTCGGCTGTTCAACGACGGTTATAAAACATTTTCAAAAAATGAAATGAAATAAATTAATTGTTAGTAATTAATTAGAATGATGAAAAAAGAAAAGAGAGAAAGGACAACACAAATAGGGGACAGCACAAGCATGTAATAACAAAAACGAACAATTGGTACATTAGCGGGTTTGGGAATTAAGAAACAATAATATAATAGAATTTAATAAGTTTAATAAAATAATTGGTTAGTAAGTTAGTAGATGATGATGAAGTTGTGGGCAGCAGTAAATCCACGAGATGGAGGCCAACCCAAGCAGGTGGAAAAGGAGTAATGATCTTATAAGATAAGAATGGGGTGCCGGACCGGGTGGTGTGCAACTCAGACAATGTCCTGTAGGTCGTTATAATAATGAAGGATGGCCTTGGGCAGCCTCCTACAATCAGGATCATCAGAATTATAATTAGATGTGAACCAGATTAGGGGATTAGAAGGACTATTGCTATCAATGAAATAATTTAGGGATCTAATTATGTCTATGTTTAGAAAGCTAGGCGTAAAGGTGTCATTACGAATATTTTTATTCCCGAAATACCAGGGAGAATTAGTTATATTACGTAAAGTATTGTTATAGAAAGTTCAAGCACACAAGGAAATTTTTCTTAATAAAACATTTTTTTTTTACTGAAATAAAGGATAAAAATATATTTACAATAAGTGAAAGCAGAATGCTAAAACATTAAAGCACAAAAATTAAAATTCGACTTTTACTTCACTCATAGGTTTTGGATGAAGGGATGTGATACTTATAAAGTAAGTTTCTTCCTTGTGTATAAAATATGCAATTTTACAAAAATATCACTATAATTGCTAAGTTCCTTCAGTATTTTGGTTATTTTCTATTTTGACATCGTAATACTGCAGACATTGCTGTCGAATCTGTTGTTGCCTATGCATCTGCAGCTTCAGTTGCTTCAGTCGTTTCAGCTTCAGATGCTTCAGTCTCAGTTTCTGCAGATTCAGTTGCCGTTGCTGTTGATTCAGTCTCAGTTGCTGATGATTCAGCTGCAGTTGCTGATGATTCAGCTGCAGTTGCTGATGATTCCTCTGTAGTTGCTGATGATACCTCTGTAGTTACTGATGATTCATCTTCAATTGATGATGATTCATCTACAATTGATGATGATTCAGTTGAAGTAGTGGTAGGTTCAGCTGTAGATTCTGATCCCCCGGCTGCTGTGGATATGGAAGATACAGCTGTTGTTGATTCATCAGCTGCTGTTGTTGCAGTATTATCTGTTAATATATAAGGCACCAGTGTGGGCTTCGTATCTGAAAAAAAAAACTATTTTATTTACTTTTATCAAGATCAATTAAAAGTCTTCTATAAAAGAAATTTAATGAGAACAAAGTTCACATACTTTTAGCCAAAGCGGAATCTTGAAAACTCCCCATGTTTCCTTTCACTAATGTTTATCAGACAATATCTGATCAGGCTTGATATTCTATGAAGGTTTATTATTGAAATTGCATTTAAATTTACACCTAATTTTAAATATCCTAAGAATTCTTTTGTGTTTCATAAATTCTGAAAAGTCGAAAGCCATAAATTGATTTGGAACTATGAATCGATCATGGCATAAATAAAGTGCAAAGTTTACCATGCTTCGAGTGTTATATTCAGATTTATTCAGATTACACATTAAACTAAATCAGAAGAAATTAAGATAGCACTATCCAGAGTGTTAACAGATATGTTCTAAATTGTGGTTACGTAACGCATGACTAATTATTATGAATTAATTAACATTTAACCAGTTATTTAACTTTACTTAAATTATTACTTAAGACAACCTAACAAAATGAATATATAGTGAATAAATTAATATAAATAGATGACTATGTAGTCAATATCCATAGATAAATACCCACATTTTTGGTAACACGTAAGAGAAGTAAACATATAGATTACTAGCTGAATACCCGTTCTTTGAACGGGATAAATAAAAAACAATCCTAAATCCCTACTGAACAACACCGCGAAATCATGCACATAACTGAAAGGCATTTACCGACGTAATTAATAAATCTAAAAAAACTTATTAATTTGTTGCCCTTCCCGGTTACTTTACGAATTGAGCAAAAAGTGTTTTCTGTATTTTATCCCATCAGAATAGAAATTAACTGTATTCAGCCTCACTTGGCATGATGCGGCCAACTCATAATAGTCAGAATTACCTCAATCAAGTAATTTTCTCCGGTGGATTTTCGATTGTTATCTTTGATGATGTGATGTTTGGAATGTTATCGCTGATTTTATCTTCAAAAATTTAATAAAATAGTTTAATATGTTGCTTAATTTAAATATATAGTCTATAGTTATATGAATAAAGTCTATAGTTATTTGTATGTATAGTCTATAGTTATTTGAATATATAGTCTATAGTTTAATTTAAAACAATGGCTAACGCTTAACCAATCAGGAAATTAATTTTCGTTTTTCGCTCTTCCCCTTTGAATGGTGCGTTGTGGAATGCTCCAATGTCGACATTGACCTTTCCCGTTTGAACTATCATTATGCCGAATTTCATCGCTCTCAGTCGGATGGCTATTCTCGGACGTTCATTAAACTTATATATATATATATATATANTGACAACAAAATTAGAGTTTCAGTCTATTTTTCCCTCAGGCTAGTTGAAATTAATGGTAGAAGTTTCCATACTCTTTTCACATCTAAGATGTGACAGACTTTAAAAGAAAATATGGATTTTCCTGAAAATTTAAATCTTATGCAACCCTTTCAAGTAGCAAATGGTTCCATTGCTACTTGATAACTTATTTTATATAGCTTGCACAATATATATATATATATATATATATACAAGAGCATAGAATCTGTTTAATAATTGAGAAGTTATGCGATGGAAAAAAATTGCACGATTTGAGCTCTTATTTGCTACCACACCCACCATATCCACCAGATATGACCTCTATAAATTATTATCTCTTCGCAAGTATGCTCTAAGGTAGGATATTTCATATTAATGAAGTCATAGCTGAAATTGGAGTATTTATTTGGTGCGCTTGAAAATTCGTTTTATAAAAAAGTATCTATATGCAGCTGGACTTTCGGAAATTGAAGAGTTTTGTAATGATCTCGATATCTTTTTCATTTATTAAAGTATCTAAATGCTAGAGAACTTTCATAAATTTAACTGCATTTTGGGGGACAATTTCGATATTTCGTTCCATAAATTTATAGGGATCTAAATTCAAGCGAACTTTCGTTAACTGAAATTTTTCTAGTAATCTTGACAATTTATTCATTAATTAAAGTATCTAAATGCTAGTAACCTTTAGAAAAGTTTAGTGCTTTTTGATAATCTCAATAATTCGTTCAATAAATTTATGTACATCTAAATACAAGAGAATTTTCGGTAACGAAAGTGTTTTTAGTGATCTCGACAATTTGTTCACTAAATAAAGTACTTAAATGTTAAAGACCTTTCAAAAATTTAAGCGCATTTTGGTAATCTCGACAATTTTTTCTATAAATTTATAGACATCTAAATTCAAGAGAACTTTCGGGTTTTTTAGTAATATTGACAATTTGTCCTCTAATTAAAATGAAAGCACGATAGCACGAAGCAATATAGGTATCTAAATTCAAGAGAACTTTCGGGAACCAAAATGTTTTTTAGTAATCTTGACAATTTGTCCTGTAATTAAAATATGTAAATACTGGGGACTTTTCGAAAATTCAAGTGCGTTTTTGGTAGTTTCGACAGCTCGTACTATAAATTTATAAGTATCTAAAGATTAGAGAAATTTCGGTGTTTTTTTTTTTTTTTTTTACCNTTTTGTACCGACATTTTGTACCAAATATGAAGTATATAAACGCTAACGAACTTTTGGGATCGAACCATACTGAGGAAACAAGTAAAATTTTAAATCTTAAAAGAAAAATATAGTTTCATGTAAGGAATTTTTTGATTGAATTGAAATTAAAAAGATACTTTTGCAGTGTAATTTCGTTATAATAAAGCACACTTACCACGATTTCCCACCGCAATAAAATGGTGTACCTGTATATTTTTCTTCGGCTGTTCGTATATTGAGAAATGATGCATAATCATTGGCGTTGGTTTGTACGTGCCCATAAGATACTTGTACTGGTTCATCATCATTATCACAGGTAAAATGGGAAAAGTCATTTTTCTTTATTTTATTATTCTACAATTTTAGATTAAACAAATAGGACCTCAAAAGATTAAAATCAATGTGGTTAATAGAGTTTAGCTTCAATTGAAATCACTTTATAGAACTTAAATCATTTTGCATATTTGCACAAATATATGTTACATATATGGCTTAATAAGGATTTCTTAAATAGGAATTTCTTATCAAGTTGCGTAAAAGTAGATGATTTATTGTAAAAAAAAATTAAATAAAAAAAAAGAATTTGATATTAACTCATTAATCTCATCATGACAAAAATGTATGTGAAAATATTTAGAAACTCCAAATTTCTTACGATTGTATTCAAAAATTCTTAGAAAACTCTCTTTCGCAAGTGAGGTGCATAATTAATTGAGTATTGTTTGTGTAGTAAGAGTATGATTAATTGACATTATTTCGAATGCAAATTCCTTACTTATTGAGCAACTAATACATTTGATTTTTTTTTTATTTCCTTCATCTTTAAGGTTAAATGAAAAAAATTTTCTTTTTATATTATAAGCTTTCAAATTTTAAGAGCAAGAGTTTTTCGGTAGCAGTTTTGCAAAGTTTTAATGAATACTTACTGAAAACCTTTTTTTTTAAATGTCGGGCACTTGGGGATTGTCCCATTGGCCACAGGAACTGCTACTCTTTTCTCGACTTCAAGCGCAGGTTGTCGGGCTATCGAAGCGGGGGTGCCCTCCGCAGAGGATCAAAATTGTGATGGCATGTCTTCGGATCATCCTCCGGGATGTCTCCCAGACCGTCGCCAATAGCTCATTGTGCAGCTCTAGTGCGACGTGAATTAACAGCAACAACAAGCTACTCTTTTCTCGTTACCCAGTGGTCACCTGTGGCGAAGCCTCAGCGGTGGAACAGCGTCGCCCACGTCACACAACCACAAACCCGTTTATAGGACGAGTCACATTCACACAAAGGAGAAAGGACATAGAACACAGAGAGGGAGAAAGAAACATCCATGCCCTGAGCAGGATTCGAACCTGCGACCAATGGCTCCGCAGTCAGACACGCTAACCACTCGGCCACCTTGTCAGCCTGAAAACTTACTTAACATACTTAATTTACTTAAAACTTACGTACATTTGGTAACTAGAAATATAAATAGCATATTTAATAGCATATGCATTAGCTCTGTTAAATAGAATATTTAACAGAGTAGAGTAATGTTAAAAAAAATCTTGTAAACAATTAACTTAAGTGAAACACTCCCACAACAGTCAGTGGTCGACCAAGAGGAATGGAAATTCAGGGTTCAAATATTTTGACGGTAAACTGCATGAGGGTAGTTAGCAATGGGGTCAGTATTGTCTTAAAGAATACACATTGGATTAGAAGGCTACCTTCGACAGATGTTATGTAAACTGGTCCCCCATGGCTTGGTACGATCGCTGGAGAAAAAAATGGCGGGAGGCAACGTACCCAATCATTCATATTGAGTAGTCTAACAATCGGTTCACAGATGACATACCTCCTGACTGTCGCATGTTCTGTATATTAGTACATATGGTATCCGCGTCCCAACTAGATGACACTGCTAAAGATCTAAGAGTATTAAAGATAAACAACTGGAAAAAAGTCGCCATGAACAGGAGGCGTTGGAGGCTACGCGTGGTTGGGCAGCCAAGGTCTGTAAGGGGCTGTCGTGCTGAAGAAGAAGAAGGTATCTGAGTATGTTGCTCGCCCTGTAACTTGTTTCTCTAGCATAGCATACCACACCGAGCAGGTCACTGCGTTCGTTACGTATTCGAAGAGCTGGAATTTTCCTTACAATATTCTTTGATTGATGAGCTTAAAACCACCATCGGGGATTAAATCCTGATCCTGAACAATGACAGTTTAGTACCCTAACCAGTGAAGAAACGGGATTCCAAAATTATTAGTAATAAATAAGGAAACTACGTTTACATAATTCTCCGTACAAGGGCGTAAGCAGAGTCCTTTTTATGTCTGAGGCGAACCCTACATTTTATTATGTTCTTAGTATTGCCTTTTAGGAACTGGTTATAGTTTTACTGAATAACATTCAACTATCAAAAGTAATACTAGTTGTATACAGTGAACAAAAAAGAACACGTTTCATAAATTCTGCTCTAATGATCGGGCTTTGACGTACTAGATCTAAATTTTAAAGGTTTGAGGGCTTAGATGTGTTAATTAATTATTGCAGTCTATATTTTAGTTTTACGAAATTGAACACAAAATATGCTTTTCCAGAACAAATTTGCATGTTTTCTTCACGTATTACAATTTTTAACCCTCAAAATAGGAGGGGATAGCCGCAATCCGGGAAAATAGTCGCAAAAGTTCAAACAGGAGAACTGTTGAATGTCCGGAACTATTGATAATAATAATAATAATAATAATTTCAGTATTTCTACTTATCTCTTGAACTCTTTAGGCACATCAAAAAAACTTCCCCATAGTTGTGAAACTCGTTTATTCAAAGATATTTCAGTGGAAAAAAATATTTTTCATAATAATTTTTCACATTTTATTATTTAATTTAGCCATGGTCGAAAGCACATTGAATTCTATGGTACAGAAATTTTAACTCCAATGAATTTTATAAATTTTTAAGTGGGACAATTAGATCTTGAGAAATAAAAAATTAAAAATAAAAGACTTCCATGAGACAGTCGTACATTGTAACATATTTAGAGGCCAAAATTACAAATTAAAGGAGTTACCATTAAAAAAGAAAGCTCAGAAAGTGTCCTAAAATAATTTAACTTTATGGTAACTACTGATTATTAAGAAATTGTGGAATAGAATTTTATTGAAATTAAGAATTTCAACAAAATTAACTTTTTCATGACTAAAGGCCTGGTTTCTTAGGACAGGACGC